TTTTTTTTTCGGAAGCACACTTCTACAGGTGTACTATTCATAGCATATTAATAACATTGCATGTCACGGGTACCTCGCATAAATCCTTTAGTGGCGATTATGAGAACAAACGTATGGAACAAGCATATCGGACCATCTTAATATATTTGAAAAATGCATGTATGAATTGCTACCCCGAGTGCGGTCGAGCCAGTGGCTATAACTCTCACATTGGCACAATCTCTAGCCATTGCACTTACTGCGTTCATAGAGAATTACAATGAGCGATTATACCATCGGGTTTTCAAATTACGGTCCCGTTCTGTTCACTGTGAAGAATGACAACGAAAGAAAAGCTATCTCGATTTTAGTATACCCAACAGATATTTCTACGATTCTGTCAAATTTTATACATTCTCTCTTCTTTATAGCACGTATTAACGAATCCTTCTGCAACACTAGGTACTAGATTAACAACTTTCCGAACTTTGATCATTTTCACGTCCGCGTGTCACTGGAGCGCAACCGACATGCGCGCTGAAATAATGATGTACAGCTCGTGGCCCCATGCAAAATGCAACTGGTTTTCTGAGTTTATCGTTCAATTGTTCGGTCCTCTAACATATTTTTGATGTACTTCTAACTTCAACGTATCCGCTATTTATGCCACCATGTTCTTGAGCTAAATTCCATACAAGCTTCCCATAAAAAAGTCTCTGAGTTAGACGTTTACAATATAGGCGATAAGGAAGTGTAATAAGAGTTGGCAATGTGTTCTCTTCTCAAGAGTAAAGTTTTCCCACTTCTAAATGGGTATTCTGAAGAAGCTTAGGCCTTTTGAATATCACAAACACGTTTGTAGAAGCCTCCTCGATGATACATCGTCTTTTCTGGCGAAAAAGTATCCTTTGAAAAAATAGGCAAAACAACACGTGCGCCTTGAAATCAAGCTCCACAGTCCGAGATAAACAGCGGCGTAATTATTTAAGTCAATGTGTATGGACGTGAAAGGGTTAAAACATAGAGCTGTTTCAATGTAGTTTCCCGCGACGTCACCTAATTTTACATTTCTGCGGAGTGAACGAAGCCCGGTTTTTCGCTGTGCCCACTATGACATCCAGCCTCACCAACCTCTCTCGTGATTTCCGTTTTTTCCGTTATGAATCGGTTTTTCTCCTAGTTTTGGAGAAAATTCAGCGCTTCTCTTATTCACTGCATGCTCCATGTTCTTCCACACACCCTCTCATGGTTTTCGTACATTTTTGGTACATATAGATCTCTTGTATATGAAGAAAAACACTCATTCGCTATGTAGTCATAATCCTGTCAGCATCTAATGAAAATGTATAAGTTCTGCAAAGAATACTATGTTACCACTTAGTTTTGAACTTCTTTCGTTCCAAACAATACTCAATAGTCACCATAAAATAAAGTTCTCGGTGCCGATCAATCTCTTAGGAATGCGCCATGCATTCGACTTTATTAAGCATCGTTGGAGGTGACTGAATGCATATGAATGCAAAGCCTTTACAATGCCTCACAGTGGTCTACCGATGTATCGAGCCAGTGCTTCATCAAAACTATTGTAAATTAGGAAACAACGAATTTTTATCAAAAACGATGATGCACACTGCATGCGTTGCCAGTTCTTCGAGGGAGAGACATTTCTTCGCCTCCTTACTGGTCACACTTTCTTCAACAGCAGCAATCTGTGGCAACGAATGAGAAAGTAGTGATTAAGAAGACACCTTCCTATGGACGACGCCTTCCATAGCATCTGCGTTTGGTAAGCTATAGATTGATTACAAGCGTAGGAAAAAACTTCTGTGCAACAAAATGAACCACCGGGAAGGAAATGACAACTATAGCTTCAAGTCACCACAGCTGTTTCTAGATGCCTTCGCTGGAGATGTTGCTCTCACGTCGAGGAATAAATAATAGCAGATTCACACAGATTTGAAGTTTTCTTAGAGCCATATAGATGGATACAATGTATTTTGTTACCTGGTTTGTATATAGTCAGGAACCGAAGTCTTTATGCTCCCTATTACCGCGTATTTTCTCGAAAGAAAGTAATTATAATGGTATAGTAAAAAGTGAAAAGCTAAAAAATAAAGTAGTTTCAGATACCAATATTTATGTTGAGGACTTCGCGATGGTCAGCACATGTGGAAACGAATTTTGAAAGCTCCGCGCAACATTCAGTAATCTCGGACATAACCTTAAATCGTATTAAAAGTGAAAACCCAACCCCAACTTATATATCGTGTGGAATATAATACACCAAAAATGGAGAAAAAATGTTGAAACAAAGGAAAATGGTAGGAATTCGCACCTTGGAGCGAGTAGATATGACGCATTGCTTGTTCTGACCAAGAATTTGCAACAACGACTCCTCCTTTGCCCACCAATCCTCCAAATCAAGTTGCTGATCGTAAACAACTTCTCGCGTCTGCAATGCCAGTAGTGGTAAGAGCACATTTAAGCATACATTTTGAAGAGTAAACGGATAAATAGAGGATACAGCTTTCGGTACTGATAAATCCCTGAGCGATGCGCCATGTACTCGATTTCATCAAGCATCACTGGAGGTGATTGAATGCATATCTAGCTTTAGACTCGCAGTGGCTCAGCGATGTATCGAGCCAATGTGCTATCTTCCCAAATAAATCTGGTACCAACTTGCCGAACCCGGAGGGATGAAGGGTTTGGTGGGTCTGGGCGCAGGGGATCGATCCCATGTGTGTAGTAGGTCGCCTACGACCACTGTGCTACACGTGCCCTACTACTCTTGACTATTCGGTAAAGCAAATGGTCACATCAATGTTTGAGTTGTTTATTGGGAGCGATCCACTGATGGCCTTCAATCAATATAAATCAACGCTTTATACTTGATGCTTACTTACTTGAACCTCAACGGCCCGTCCTCATTAGTCGTTCTTGCTCCAGCATAACCCACCATTTTTCGGAGGTTTGCTGGTTAAGTCATTGTGGTTCCTTGGAATCCCCAGGATAACCTGGCCAAAGTCTGCCTCAGATCTTCACCACCACGGGCAGTCGCAGCCTTTGTGGATCAGAGGGAGATTTACCACCATAGGACTTTGATACCAGGACGGTAGTGGATCCTGGTATTGATCTACTCTTAGCTAGGCTTCCTGATGGAAACGCTGAACTCCTTCTCAGCTTGGGAGACCCTGTCGGGGATGAATCCACCCCTGCTGTACATCGCAGTCCGACACACAGGATCACCTCCCAGCCACGATGAGGCGGTAAACCGTTGGGAAGCAACGCTTTATAACCAAGAAAAAAGATATAAAACATCTAATAGTCAAAGTTATTATTCGTATTATACTTAAACATTAAGTACATTTTAATATAGAAAACGAAATGTGCCAAGGAACCTCTCTTAAATGAGCATGGAGTTGAGTGGCGAGACTATGGGCATCCTGAAATGCGGTATGCACCGCATGGAGCTCCTGAAAAGAAAAAAAGAATCGATTAAAGTAACAGGTCTGAAGCGCTCCTTTTACTTTTCTTGTGTCGTCCAACTCATCAATGCGCTGTTGTAGTTTCGTTTCCAGCCTTTTGTTCCGATGATAAAGCTCGCGGTATTGTTCATCCATGATTTCTTGGTCTTCAATAAACTAAAATGGATTAAATTAAGATTACGTAGTTGAAAGTGAAGAAACAAATTTCATCTCATCCATGAGTTGAAAATGATAACATAAATTTTCTAGGAGTTCCCGGAATCGATTTTCTATTAACCGCGGCATTGGATTATAAATGAGTCGTTTTCTTCAGTAATCATGAGGTTGTTATGCAGCAAATGTTTACTTCCATACAAAACACAACGCAACAAAAGTCGACGTTTCGGCAGTATCGCCTTCTTCAGAGTCTGGAAGAGTACACTAATACGCAACTTACTAGGTCAAACGTTTCGACAGCATTAACAGAAAGATGAAAATCTGTACGATAATTATAAGATCTACGGTTTCTCGAAAAAACCCACCGTTTTTTTCACCTGTCTTCCACTAAGGAAAACTGCTGGTTAGAGTCGCGAATGGTTGATGACTGCTCCACCCCACATCAAAAATCGATGCGAAGTTACGGAGCGAGATCACATGTGATCTTGGGCATTCCTTTCTACCATTCATTGTAGGGTTCTTGGCATTCATGGGTTTTTCGAGAAGCTGTTGTTCATGTAACTGCCATAAAGTTTTTCGTCTTTTTATACCTGTTACTGAAGCGTTTGGCGTAGTAGATTGCATATCAGTATACCCTTATAGGCTCTGAAGAAGGCGATACTGCCGAAACGTCGACTACTGTTGTATTGTGTCTTTGTGCGGAAGTAAATGCATGTTGATATATTTATTTATNTGATTATAAATGAGTCGTTTTCTTCAGTAATCATGAGGTTGTTATGCAGCAAATGTTTACTTCCATACAAAACACAACGCAACAGAAGCCGACGTTTCGGCAGTATCGCCTTCTTCAGAGTCTGGAAGGGTACACTGATACGCAACTTACTAGGTCAAACGTTTCGACAGCATTAACAGAAAGATGAAAACCTGCACGATAATTATAAGGTCTACGGTTTCTCGAAAAAACCCACCGTTTTTTTCACCTGTCTTCCACTAAGGAAAACTGCTGGTTAGAGTCGCGAATGG